CAGCTGCGTGACGTACAAGTCAGCCCTGTCCGCCTTCGACTTAATATCGAGGGCCTCGGTGTTTAGCCAGGTATACCCCTCTGGCATTTCAACAGGCCCCCAGCACCAGCGGCCACACTCTTCTTCTTAGGGGCAGCCCTCTGCGACTTTGTCTTCTTTTTACCGGGGGCTATCCTCAGAGGCGTCGGGTCCAACGGCCTGGAGGTACTAGGCTCACCACAGTCAGTCCGAGGGGGTGGCACAGCAACAGTAACCATCATCGCCTCCTTTTGGGCTTCGTCCTCCGCCACCTGACACGCGAGGGCTAGTTCTTCATCTTCGCACTCCTGTTCGAAGCCCTCGGCTTCCACCTCAGCAGCAAGGGCCTTCTGCAACTCCAAGGCCACGGCTTCGTCATCAGCCGAGGGCGCACTGCTGCTTGACTCGACATCGGAATCAACCTCATCCTCAGAGGAGGGCTGTCTGAGCCATCGGAGTATCAATTGCCGGGGGGTCAGCGGAGGGCTGATCATCGAGTATTATGAGGGGGGCCGCCTTCTCAACGGCGCCCCCGGCAACCTTCTGCTTCTTGATCGGGGGCTCCACCCCCTTGCCCCCCTTTTTCTTCTTGGCTGCCACATCAGCCTTCGGCCCCCCGGCCGCAGTAACAGGAGCAGCAGCAACTGAAGGCTCTGCGGTCTCCTTCGGGAAAATCTCATCAATGGGCTTTTGACCCGAGGGCTCCGTCTTCTCCTTCTTCTGGGCTTGCGCCCTCTCCTTCTTCTTTTTCATTGCGAAGAGAGCCTCCATACCTGCAAAACAAAGCAAAGAGAATATTAACCCGAAGGGTTCATACCAAAATCAACTATCGGGATGCAAAATGAAAGTGCCTAAGTAGGAGACTAGGGGCCCTCGTAGCCTACCTCCTGCTCCCCCGAAGGCCTCAGTGAAGACAGGGTACTTCTCATCTATTTCCCCGATGAACCGGTACCGTTGGAACCCGAGGGCATGCAAGTCTTCCTCAAAAGTGCATTCTTTGATCGTCACGACCTTCATCTTGCCCTCCGGAATCTTGGCGAGTTTCAGGCCATCCTTCTCTAGGGCAGCACTCCCCACCCTCTCGTGGCGCCGAAAGCGGTCCCGTAGCTCCCTCGGGAAGGGATTCTCGGCCAGCCGGACGTAGCACCATCTGTCTTTCCAGCCCTTATTGGACGAGGGCGCCTCGGTAAACAGCTTGAACTTTGCTACCTGCTGTAAATTGGCGAAGCCCTCGGCATTCGCGTGCCCCCCCCGGCACAAGTTGAAGCTTTGGAAGAAGAGGTACAAGCTTGGGGTAACATCCCTCGTCCGGCACAGGTGCAGAAAGCCGGCAATGTATGAATGGCTGTTGGGGGTAAGTTGGCAGGGGATGAGTCCAACAAACCGGAGATACTCCCGGAGAAATGGATGCAGGGGGGACCGGAGGCCCATGGACACTGACAGGATGTGGACGGCAATGCATCCCTCCGGAGGCCGGGACAGCAGATCATCGACGCTTGGCTCCACCACTACGGCCGAGGGCCCAACGTGCAGCTGCGTGACGTACAAGTCAGCCCTGTCCGCCTTCGACTTAATATCGAGGGCCTCGGTGTTTAGCCAGGTATACCCCTCTGGCATTTCAACAGGCCCCCAGCACCAGCGGCCACACTCTTCTTCTTAGGGGCAGCCCTCTGCGACTTTGTCTTCTTTTTACCGGGGGCTATCCTCAGAGGCGTCGGGTCCAACGGCCTGGAGGTACTAGGCTCACCACAGTCAGTCCGAGGGGGTGGCACAGCAACAGTAACCATCATCGCCTCCTTTTGGGCTTCGTCCTCCGCCACCTGACACGCGAGGGCTAGTTCTTCATCTTCGCACTCCTGTTCGAAGCCCTCGGCTTCCACCTCAGCAGCAAGGGCCTTCTGCAACTCCAAGGCCACGGCTTCGTCATCAGCCGAGGGCGCACTGCTGCTTGACTCGACATCGGAATCAACCTCATCCTCAACCGAGGGCTCCCTCGATATATTTTGAGAATCGCTCTCGGACGACATTCTTTGCCACAGAATGTGCCTAAGGTTTCGAAGGATTTCTACGGAACCCTAACCCTAGACTAAGGCCAGAGGGTGGAGCTTACAAAAAGTGTTGAGGAGCGAAGGGAGAACTAACCTCTGAGAGTGCTGTGATCGAGGGCTTGAGTTTCTCTCTCTAGAATTTTTGGCAGAGCTTCGCTAAAGATTTTTTGACGCGTAAGGAAGAAATGGCTCTGGCTCCGGGGTATTTATAGACCCCAGAGTCCGGGCTTGGGCCCAAAACTGGGCCTTCGGATGGACGCCATCATTACACACCGCGTCTTCGCCCAACCGGTGACGCCGCCCACGGACAGCCAGCCATCACACGCCACGTGTGCCCCCCCCCAACGGCTATATCCTGTCGTTACATATTCCAACGGCTATATTTCCAACGGCTATATTCTGGAATCCCCCGGGTTTTTTACTTCACTCCACTTCATCAAGGATAGCCTCCGGGTACACTTACCCAGAAGCGCCCCCGGGTTGTGCCCCACACATCGCATAACTGACGCCTTCGGGATCACTCCCTCAGAAACCCAGGGTTTCATATCAGGGCACCCCTCGGGGATTCCCCCTCAGCGTTGCAAAACCGGGTAGCCCCCGGGGCGTTACCTCATTGACGGATAACCCATGGCACACTGGTAATGGGAGCCCTCGGGTATCTTCATCACCAAGTAATCAACAAACAGTGGACCCCCCCGCGACAGTCAAATTACTGCCCTCATCTGGCAGGCCCTCGATCCCTGGATTGAGGGGCTCCCCTTCGGCGCCACCAGGACATCAACAGCAAGCCTTCGGCTAATCAACACAGGAGCCCTCAGATGAGAGAGCCTTCGGCATTCCCGTCATTCTCCATTTTTTTACCAAGGTTTGACATCTTCGATTCATCATTGGGGGAATTCGGTGCACTCTTTTTCCCTCATTAGGATTTTTTCCCAAAGGGTTTTTCCTAATGAGGTTTTTAACGAGGCATCCCCCCAAAATGAAACGAAAAGCGCCAGCCTTCGGCCCACAACAGCAACGTAACTACTTTACTCCTTTTCACCACTTCACAAGTGCCTCAAGGAGTGGGGGACTGGGGGACCCCCTCGGGAAAATCATTAAATTACAAAATCTGTGAAATTCCAACAAACGACAAGGCAAGCCCTCATGTCCCGACATGTGGGTAACTGAGGGACTGCCTTCGGCAGGGACATAAAAGCAACAACTCCTCACCAACTTCAGAAATCACGATGGGACAACATCAAAGGGCAAGCACAAGTTACTCCTTTTCCCTCAAGTACCTTTCGGCAAAAGGAGTGAGGGACTCCTGATGGAGTATATGGCCCGGGAACCCCCGGCCCACAGACTCCTACTACTCCAGCGAAGGCTCAACAGACCCAGAAGGCCCAACAGGCCCAAATCACAGCGCCCAGAGTACCAGCCAGTCCGCACTACGCGCCAGGGGTGCCTTCGGCCCCCTGGCCGAAGGCTCCAAATTCTCACAGAACGGGTTTCTCAAGCAAATTAAGAAACTGGGAGAAAACGGCGAAAACAGTAGCCCTCGGCACTGTGAGCCCTCGGCACCAGGGTGCCATCGGGTGGAAGAGCCCTCGGCTACTGCTCTATAGCCGAAGGCATCTCACTCGACAAGATATCCGCCTCACATGCGTACAGATCACCGTACCCCGCACAGACGTCCCGTCCAACAGCCGCATTAAATGCGGCCACATGCGGTTGCCAGCGCCAACCAGTTGAGGTGACCCCTCGGCCAATGAGCGCTTGACACGTGTCCCTGCCCGGCATTTATTGCTACTATAAATAGCACCCCATTTCCCCATTTGTAACCACGCTGAAAACGGCATTCATACTGAATACACTCTCTCTCTACTTTTACTTACTTGCTCTGACTTCTCTCTAAGTTATTCCCCGTAATAACCCTTCGGATATATACCCCCGGGTAGACTATCCATCATGCTCCTTGACAGCAAGAATGAGTAGGGTGTCCACTATCCGATTTAAACCGAAAAACTGGACCGGAAAAACCGGAACCGGATCGAACCGGAATGATATCTGGTCCGGTTTCGGTTATGAAAATTTAGAAAACCGGTTTTCGGTTTAAAACCGGATTATTCCGGTTTGAACCAGATTTAACCGGTTTTGCAATATTTTTAAAAATATATTTACTAATACTAATATAATACTATCATCCGTATCTCATTAATTGCAACATTGGAATATATACACTATTAATGTACTTTACTTTGACTACATATATTTATTAATGTATGTGAGGTATTTTTTTTTTGAAAAATGTTGTTAAATTCGTCTCATTATTAAGTTTTATAATCTGATTTTTTTTACTAATACAGAATTAAATATAATGACGGTCAAAGTTGTGCGTGTGCAAATGTGAAATGTTGACTGTTGCAACTAAAAAGAGACGGAGGAAGTAATAGTTATAAAATAAAAAATAATACTCCATACTAATAACAATATATAATAGCAATCATTTCATAATGATTATAATATATATTATCCTAATATTATATTTATCCATTCATTTTTATTCTCGTAATAATAAAACTAACTAATACGGAGTATATATTATTCTAGTCTCAAATTTTCCCAATATTTGCTCACTAAAATTAATTAAAATGAGCTTAGAAAACAAAAATAATAAAAGTAATATTTTTAATAATAAGTACTCCATCTTTATCAAATGATTAGTAGCTTTTTTTAGTAAAGAAAAAAATTATTTATTTAGAAACCGGTTTTTCAGGTCCGATTTCGGTTTTGAACCGAATAAATCGGTTCGGTTCCAGATAAAAAGCAGAATACCTCCGGTCCGGTTTTTTGCTTTCATATTATGGCAATTTCGGTTCCGGTCCGGTCCCGTTTTGAACCTGTGGACACACTACTGAATCATCATTTTATAAAAGTTGTTCCAAACACCCCCGTTGATTGAGTCGTTTTTTCAGTTTTTTGGACTAATGTGGTCCAAGGGCCGTCCATCGCCCGTCGTCTCTTCCCACAGCACCCTAATTGCTTCTTCTTCATCAGCCCTACCTGCGAGGCGGCGGCCAGTCTTCTTCAACGGTGAATCTGCACCAGCTACCAGCGTCCGCCGCACCCTTGCGATCACCACTTGCTACTGCGTGCACCGCGCTGCCCTGTCCTCTGCCACCCAGTGTGACTTGCTGACTGCCGACAGCGGCTGTCCGCTGCACCTGTATGCCGGAAAAAACTCCATACTTTCGACTCACTACTCAGCCAGGTAAATTCTAGATTTGGTTCGAAACATAATTTAAAAAATCAGATTCAATTACTCAATATTTATGATACGTAAAATGTGTTTTAGGGAAAAAATTGAGTATCAATTGCTTATTGACCATTTTTGTTCAATTAGTGAAATTTCCGATGATTGTAGTTGTCTGAAATTTCAATTAGTGAAATTTACGAATAAAAGAAATGTAAAAAATTCCGCACAACACCCTTCCTTATTCCAGTATTCCGACGTCAGGCCTTTATCTTTTTTTTTTCATTTTCAATTTAATCTTATCTCTTCATTTTCTAATCTTTAGGTTAATCTCATTTTTAATATCCTGTCTTATTGTATAAAAGTAATCACTTGTTCAGTTGTTCATTATTTTTAACCCAACTTCCTTTGAGAAGTGACAACATTTGGTTTAGTTTATTGTGTTATCAAATTAGATTGGGTCAGAGCTGAGAACAAACACTTAAGCTTCTCTTTGATGTGAGAAGATACTTATTGAAATGCTTTAACAAATACCTTAGCAGTGCATTGTTTTCAATTTGTATTCCAAGGACGATGAATTGAAATATCAATGTAATTTTTTAAAACTAGACAATAAATCCATGCAAGGAAAAAATACAGTAATGGAATAATGGGAATAAAATCTAGTAGTTCAGTAACTAACATAGTTAATATGAAGTTAATGTGGCAGAGTTTATATTAGAGCTTTAGTTTCTGTTTTACTTTTTCATTTATTGTGATACTTTGAGTATGGTTTCCTAGACATACAGCTTATCTTGTTAAGTTGTTCCTTATGAAGTATGAACCCCCTTTTGTATACATTTTCAGCCATTGGATTGTACATATTGCAATTAAGATTTTGCTCCCACAAGAAGGGATTGCTGATGAAGCCAATTTTTTCACATTAATTGTAGACAGAGTTGTTACGATGTCGCCTAGTTGGCGGCTAGGGGTCCAGTCGTCCAGGTGCTGGGGAGGGGTGGCCAACAGCCATTTCCTCGTCTCAAAAACATCAGGCGACAAAGGTGTCGTCCAAGCGAGTTCCAGGCGTACATGGCACCGCCCTGTCATCTCGTGAGATTCAACTTTAGAAACCCAGCCCCAAAAATCAGATATGGAAAGTATAAAATTAGAAACTGGGACCAAGGAATGTAGATGACACACTATTAGCTGTCGCAATCCTTCTAAGGTAGATGACAACCTCTTTCACTGCCAGTCCTTTTTCCGTCGACTGTCGCAAGTCGGAAGTTAAACGATGATTCTTTTCATTTTTCAAGGCAACTCCTTCGTTCTGAATTAATACCGAACTACTGATATTTAAATATTTGATTAATATTATTTTTTTTGGAACTTTATAGTCCGTATTTAATTAGTATCATGTGTTCTATTTTTTCAATGTAATTTATTTTTGTTTATAGCAGGTTATTTTTGTTAACTCACAATATATAACAACACTCCTTACACATGGCTGAACATATATTATATGCTAAACTATGCTATAAATAGCCATTACAGAAACAATCAAAAGGAATGCACGTAACAAACCCCTAAAATAAAGCCATGCTGCACGTAAGACCACAACCTAACTACTGGACTCAAACAACTCCTATTAACTAGCTTACAACCTTGACTTATTCAATATTGAACCAATGGAATAAACAAAGAATAATAATAACTAGACTCCTACGCATGCATGACCACATAAAGTCCCCATGCACACGTCAAGCTTGATCATTCTCAACACTTCCCCTTGATACAAGCTTGCACATGCCAATCCTTTCCATGAAGTAATAATGTTTTGCTTGGTTCAAGGCCTTGGTAAATATATCTGCATTCTGCCAGTTTGTGCCACAAAATTGTAGTGTAATCTTCTCCTCTGCAACCAGTTGCCTTATAAAATGGTGTTGAACATCTATATGCTTAGTCCTTGAATGGAAAGCAAGATTCTTTGCCATGGCTATAGCTGTTTTGTTATCACACCAAATCTCAGGCTTTTCTTCTTGCTTGCAGCACAAATCCCATCTGTTTGAGTGTCTTACACGAGGGAGAAATCAGCTATAGCCATGGCAAAGAATCCTGCTTTCCATTCGAGGACTAAGCATATAGATGTTCACCACCATTTTATAAGGCAACTGGTAGCAGAGGAGAAGATTACATTACAATTTTGTGGCACAAACTGGCAGAATGCAGATCTATTTACCAAGGCCTTGAACAAAGCAAAACATTATTACTTCATGGAAAGGATTGGCATGTGCAAGGCTGCAAGCTTGGATCAAGGGGAGGTGTTGAGAATGATCAAGCTTGACGTGTGCATGGGGACTTTATGTGGTCATGCATACGTAGAAGTCTAGTTATTATTATTCTTTGTTTATTTCATTGGTTCAATATTGAATAAGTCAAGGTTGTTAGCTAGTTAATAGGAGTTGTTTGAGTCCAGTAATTAGGTTGCGGTCTTACGTGCAACATGGCTTTATTTTGTTGGCTGTAGGCTTCGGCCCATTCAGATCTGGGAGCCAAATAAACAAAGAGCAGCATCCTGCTCTAGTTAAATGTGCAGGCAGCCCTAGTTGGGCCTGTTTCTTTGGTGGCAGTCAGGCCCAGAACCTTATTAAGTGTTTTACCCTAATTGGTTGCCTATATATATTGACTCCTGTACTTGTAAACCATGACTTGTATCATCTCAATAAGAAAGAAACCCCTAGTTGCCCCCGTGGATTAGGTCAGTAACATCTACTGGCTGAACCACGTTAAATTCGTGTCGTTCTGTTATAGTTTTTCAGGTTGTTGTGTGTGAGTGCGCCCTAACCCTAACATATTTTAGGGGTTTGTTAAATGAGAAAAAGGGCTTTGGCATCTTTCTTCCGTTTTTCTCTAAGAGCTTGATCAGGCTCCTCCGGCTGATCATCAAGAAAGCTGTCCTCAACTATGCTCCACAATTCTTGAGTCTTGAAAAGGGTTTTAATTTTCAAGCTCCAGAAATGATAGTTGATTCCCTTAAAACAAGGGCAGTTGGACAGTTGGTTCACTGAATTGCCATTCCCAGAACCTTGCATATTGGTGTGTTTTCTCCCTCGTGTAAGAGTTAAGACACTCAAACAGATGGATAAAGTTGTCACGGTCTCTGATACCAAATGTTAACTCTCACAGTATATAACATCACTCTTTACACACGGCTGAACATATATTATATGCAAAGGGAAAAGGCTAAAAACACCACACTTGATTATACGATAAACTAGGCTATAAATAGCCATTACAGAAACAATCAAAAGGGATGCACGTTCAACGTAACAAACCCCTAAATTAAAGCCATGTTGCACGTAAGACCACAACCTAATTACTGGACTCAAACAACTCCTATTAACTAACTAACAACCTTGACTTTTTCAATATTGAACCAATGAAATAAACACAGAATAATAATAACTAGACTCCTACTTATGCATGACCACATAAAGTCCCCATGCACACGTCAAACTTGATCATTCTCAACAATTTTCTCAGTGTAGCTGCTATAGTATGATTCTCTTTTTCTGTTTTTCTTTTAATTCCTAAACTATATATTTTTGTATAAAATAGTGTTTGAAGTTTATATATATATATATATATATATATATAGAGAGAGAGAGAGAGCGAGTACTCTTCCGGTCAGGAATTCCTGACCGGAACCGCCGTCCGGACGACGGCTTTTAGGGCCCTTCCCGGTGGAATTTTTTGATGAAATTTTTATGGCATGTTCTTCATCAAGTTCAGTTCATCCCCAAAAAAATTCACCTAAAAAATCAACCGGGAAGGCCGTCAAATGATTTTTGGAAGATAACTGTGCCAAAATATACATATGAAACACAGTTAACTTCCAAAAATTATTTGACGGCCTTCCCGATTGAATTTTTAGCTGAACTTTTTTTTGGATAAACTAGACTTGATGAAGAACATGCCATTGGGAAGGCGGCCAAACGCCGCCGTCCGGACGGCGGTTCCTGTCCGGAATTCCGGACAGGAATATTTCTCTCTCTCTCTATATATATATATATATATGGGTATACGTATGACATATGATATAACTAGGCAGTCAGCTGGTGCCGCGCCTGGCCTGACTGTAGAAGATTCTAAGTTACAGGGTAATCCTTAATGTGTCCATGGTAATTCGCGTAAGTTACTATTGAAATTTGAAATGCATATTTTATCCTTGAATCTGTCTGTTATATTTTTTCCATGTAGCTGCTTTTGCATCTTCTGCACCAGCCTTTAATAATGACAATGAATCTAATTACTTACAGGCCTCTATGCCTGGTAGTTATATGTGCCTAAATAAACTTTTTTTGTGTTTTAACACTTCGACGTTCATTGTTTTTATGGTGTATTCTGCTTGTAGACTCTTATTGCGTGTTATTTCTGTTACTTTGTAGCTATGGGCAAAAGATTAAGCACTTATGCTCTTATTCCTCAAGTTGCTGTTGACATTATCGTTCCTTACTGATTAGACTGCTCTACGAGTACTTTGGGAGGCTTCATCAGGTAAACTATTTCTATGAAGGTTCTAGGGTATGCTGATAGTTGTGAAGGAAAACAGGTGTTTTTTAAATGAAAGTGTTGATATGCAATAGCGAAATAGCCTTATTTGTGCACTGCTTGACCTGTTTTGCTTCATTCTATATACCATGACTGATTGACTGACACCGACTCTCGGGGTTTTTCTGTAAGAAAAAATTGGAATTCCTTAAATTCTGCATTGACCAGATCAGTAAATTTAGTTAGAACTTCTTTGGTTGAACATATCAGTTCTGTTGCTGCCTAATCTGATGTTTATTCAGCTTGTGCAGTTGCATTTTTTAATAAAATATTGAAAAGAAAAATAACATGCATAAAATTTTCAAGCAATTAGTTCAAACAACATTTTATGATCGGGTTGAAAATATTTTGGAATATCAAATAAAGAGGCGTGGAGGAAAGGGAGTGAAAGACCCAAACAGATGTGGATTACACATTACTGGAGTCAGGAGTGATATTCTTCTTCTTGTGTTAGATGAGAGTATGGCTTTGGAGAGAGCAAAGTGGAGGGAGGGTATTCATGTGTCAGATTGATCTCTTATCATCTTTTTCACTTTTTATATCTTTCTTGTTTTTTTTTCTTTTTTTATTATATATATATGTATAATCTTTTTATCCATTTTATCTTATCATTTTTATGTATATTTTATCTCTATTTTATCCTTTTTATCATACCTTATCTTTTTTATCTTTCTTTTCATTTTGGTTCTGTTATCATGTATATATTCATGTTTGTCAACCCCAAAATCTTTTGGGACTAAGGCTTGAATGTCGTTGTTGTATCCAATGAAGGGGCTGTGACTAAGAGGTCACGAGTTCAAGTCTTGAGAGTGTCCTCTTATCAAAATGACAAGGGAAGACCGACTCCTTATATACCCTTGTGGTGGGACCCTTCCCCAGACCCTCGCCTTGAAGGACACCAATGTATACCGGACTGCCCCTTATCCAATGAGAGGGTCGAAAAAGTATAAAAATGAAAAAAAGTCAGCTGGTAAAATTCCTTCAAGCTTCTAGTGCAGCAAAAGTATCAGCCTTTCTAGATATGCGTGCACGTTTAAAATGAAAAAATACAGCTAGCTCTTGGTTTCTTGTGCAAATACAACTATGATTGTTAAACACAACATGGTAAATGTTAATGCTGTTTTAGATCTCTTTTACATGCTTAGCACAGTAGAACAACTTCTCGATTGATAAGCAAAACAAAAAGCCATAAAACAAATAATTTCAACCGGAATAAACATATTTTTATCAAGACAAAATAGCCAGGAGTATTTCATGTTGCGTATAAAATTAGCTTTTGTAATATACTACATACATACAACTATGATTGTTAAACACAACATGGTAAATGTTAATGCTGTTTTAGATCTCTTTTACATGCTTAGCACACTAGAACAACTTCTCGATTGATAAGCAAAACAAAAAGCCATAAAACAAATAATTTCAACCGGAATAAACATATTTTTATCAAGACAAAATAGCCAGGAGTATTTCATGTTGCGTATAAAATTAGTTTTTGTAATATACTACATACATACATACATGCATATATATAAATAGAGTCATTTTCCTGTCCAGCAGGTTTTGGTTCGAACGCCGTCCGAACACCGCCGTTCGGGGCGGTTCCAGGTGGAATTTTTCGATAAAATTTCTATGGTATGTTCTTCATCAAGTCTAGTTTATCCACAAAAAAATTCAGCTCAAAATTCGATCGGGAAGGCCGTCAAATAATTTTTTAAAGTTAACTGCGCAAAATTATACATAGAAAAACGCAGTCAACTTCCAAAAATTATTTGACGGCCTTCCCGATCGAATTTTGAGCTGAATTTTTTTGTGGATAAACTAGACTTGATGAAGAACATACCATAAAAATTCATAAAAAAATTCCACCGGGAACCGCCCCGAACGGCGGTGTTCGATCGGCGCCTCAGGTCCGAACGTTCGGACCTGAGAATTTTCCTATATATATATATATATATATATATATAGGGGAAGGTTCTAGTGAGAACTCATCTTAAAATGAGAACTTGTTATCACATCCTTTTATTTAATTCAATCATTGGTAGGATGCACTGGGGTACTTTGTGTAATTATTGAAAGTTCAAATGGGGTCTTTTTTGTAACTATTGTAGAGTTATTACAAAAATGCTACCTTATTAATTCTAGCCATTGATTCCATAAATCAAGGGTGTTGATTAGAAGTTCTCATCCATAAATGAGTTCTCATTTTAAAGGGAGTTCTCACTAGAACCCTCCCCTATATATATATATATATATATATATATATATATATATATATATATATAGGGTGCGGTTCCGGTGAGAACACTCCTTAACGTGAGAAATGAGAACACTCCAAAACGATGCACTTCATCATTCACAAAACTGCACATTTATAGTTAAAGTAATGCAAAATTCTAATGTGCACATTGACGTTTAAAATTTTGCACAGACGAAATGCACATTTTCCAATTTTTTATATGCACGTTTCTGTTTTACATGATGCACAATGCTCAAATCCAACGCTCCAGAATCATTCTCATTTCTCTCCTAAGATGGTATTGTCATTTAATATATATATATATATATATATATATATATATATATATTATATTTGTGTGTGAGGGATAAATCGGACAAATATATTACGATTTAAATCTGACAATTGCTATGCAGTCTCAGGCAGGGAAGGGTGTAACGGTGGAGGTAGATACTTTGGGTGGCTTGTTCTGTGTGCAGGTTGCTGCATAAGTTTAACAGAAAGTATATAGGGCATAGCTTGATGTGCTCCAACTGTAATAAGAGCTTTAAAGCTGTCGAGGCATCAGGACGCACTGAAGATTTCGTGGACTATAAGAGCATTGATAACGAGGATGAGAAAATTAATGAAATTTCTGGGACTAGGACTAGTGGTAGGATTAAGGCTAGGAAAATGACCAGTGTTGGTGAGATCTTACAGAGGGCAAAGGAGAGATCGTCGGGAGATCTGTGTGAATCATTGAATAGATTGGATGGATTAAAAGGTGGTGCTGTGGAATGGAAGAGTTCAAGGGCAAAGAGATCAAAGGGCAGTGAAGAAGAAGAAGAAGAAATGACATTAGCAGAGATGCAAATGCATGTGATGAAGAAAAAGAAGCAGGAAAGCAAAAAGAGGAAGGATATGCAATTGTGTTTGGGTGGAAAAGAAAATGAAATAGAGGAAGAAGGTATGGAGGGTAGGAATGTGAAAGGGAAGAGGGAGAGGAGTTTCAAGAGAGGGCAAGTTTGGGCGGTTTATAGTGATGACGATGATGGGATGCCAAGGCGTTATGCATTGATTGATGGAGTGCTATCATTGAATCCCTTTAAGTTAAGAATGTGGTGGTTAGAATTGGCAAAGAGTGGCGAAAAAAATGGGGCTTGCGGGAGATACAAGGTTTCTTCTGAGCATGTGTTAGTGACGTCTCCTGAGATGTTTTCTCATACCGTGGATTGTGATAGAGTGGGGAGACAAGTGTATACAGTTTATCCTAAAAAGGGTACAGTGTGGGCGATCCTAAAAGATGAAGATCAGGAGCAGCATGAGATCGTCGTGTGTTTGAGCAGTTACAGTGAAGTATATGGGCTGAGTTTGGGGTACCTGGAGAAGGTGGGGGATGATGGATTTGGGACAGTTTTCAAGAGGAGAGCGATTGGGGTTGATGCGATAAGGTGGGTTGGAATGGGAGAGATTGATGGATTGATGTCCCACCAAATTGTTGCCAGCAAGGTTTCAGGTGACTGCTGGGAATTGGATCCATCTGCACTTCCTCCTCCCTCACATGCTCTCCTTATTCAGCAAGAGGAATAAGCAGCTTCTGCCCTCGTGTGTATTTTATTTCAGTGATGCTTGGTGCTACTACAACTACTACATGTGTAGGAGCACCTGCATGATTTTGACTTTTCAAATTATCTTTTCCTAATAAATGAAAATAATTTAATTTTGGGAAAATGTGCAAATAAGCCCTCGAACTAACCGAAAAAATGCATACATGTACGTACATGTACATATGTACATGCATGTATACATGTATGTGTATGTATATGTGTATGTATATATGTATGTGTATGTATATATGTATGTGTGTGTGTATGTGTGTGTGTGTATATGTATATATGTATATATGTGTGTGTGTGTGTGTGTATATATATATATATATATATATATATATATATAGCACAATGCACCCTGTATAGTGCATTAAGTTCAACAATAAAATGCATTCTTAAATTGTACTCCCTCCGTCCCTAAAAGGATTGCCAAGTTTGACCGGCACGTAGAATAATAAAGTAAAAACTGTGCGGTAGAGATTTGTGAAGAGGAGAGAGAAATAACTGGAGCCACAAATTGATTGATTAAAAGGGAAAGTGTCAAAGTTTTTGGGACAACCGAAAAAGGAAAGTTGTCAAAGTTATAAGGGACGGAGGGAGTAATAGACAATATGATGAGGTGCAAATGGTGGCCGGTGCATAGAGTACGATTTGTGAAAAATGCATGATAGTCTCAAACTTAAAATGATTTATTTAAGATAGTGTTGAATTTGAAAAATTAAAATTAAAAAGTTTGATCAAAATATTGACCTAGCTTCACAAATTGCACTTAATCTATGTTTTGATGCATAGTAAATATTTAATAAATAGTTTTGAAGCTTTTAGAATAGTTATTAAATACGAATAAATTATTCCGAATGTGTTCGCATACATATGTTAGTTTGTAGCACTCTTAAAATCAATATAATAATTATATAAATTGAAAACTTCCCAAGTTCCCATACTACTTAATATGGATGCACGTGTAACATAACAAGATTACATAAAAGTCCCTATTATACTAATTATCGCTTACATAGTTTATCATGACTATTAATTTCCTTGAATTTAGGGATTCATGTCCTTAAAAAAACAGCTGAATTTGGCCATTCGATCAAGTATCTCAACGGTTCTCTTCTTTTCTAATTTCTCTTCTAAACCCTTTTTCTCACCAGAACCCCCTCCCCCCACACATATCTTTATATAATATAAAGTAACATTTTTTGCACCATAATTGGAGGGAAAAATCTCGCTCAAAATAGAGAAAATTGCCCAACATAGGACTAAAACTCAACTTTTTTCTCAAAATAGGATCACATGCATGTTTTTCTCTAAATAGGATTAACCTTACCTTTTTTACCCCTAATTCTATTTAATTAATTAATTAATTGATCTAAATAATTGCCCCCCTAGTTTCCTTGCACAACCAAGGCAGTCCGTCGGTGGCGGGGCAGTCCATGGTGGCGGCAGCACTCCGGCAGTGGCCGGCGACGGATTCCGGCGGCGGCGGCGGCAACTCCGGCAATTAATTAACCCAATTAATTGCCCCCGTAGTTCTCTTGCACAACCAAGGCAGTCCGTTGGTAGCGGGGCAGTCCGGAGGTGGCGGCAGCGGAAGAGGTGGTTTCTGGCGGCGGCGGCCAGCGGCCGGTGGCGGCAGAATGTTGGCAAACCTCCAGAAAAAAATTGGATTTCTTCCGGCGGCGGCAGGCGGCGGTCCGGCAGTGGTGGCGGCAGCGTAGCGGCAGTGGCGGCGGTTTTCGGCGGCGGCAAGAAAATAACAGACATTAAATAGACAATAAATAGACAATAACTAGACAATAAATAAACAATAAATTCTGAGAAACATCATTGCGGCGGCGGAGAACTACGGCGGCGACGGAGAACTACAGCGGTGGCGGAGGCGGCGGCAGAATCTGGCAGTCTCCAAGATATTTTTTTGAATTTTCTGGTGGTGCTCCGGCGGCGGCGGCAGAATCTGGTAATCTGCCAGATATTTTTTGGAATTTTCCGGCGGTGCTCCGGTGGCGGCGGCGGCCGTAGGTCTGGCGGCAGGCGGTGGTGGCCGGAGGTCTAGCGGCAGGCGGCTGGCAGGAGGTCCAGGGGCAGCAGTCTAGGGGCAGCAGTGGGGTATTTTGGTCCAATCACACATAAAAAGTCTTATTTAAGAATGTTTAAACTAATTGGTCCTATTTTGGGGGGAAAAAAATCATGTTTTGGTACTATTAATGTAAATCTCCCCCCAAAATAAGGGTAAAAATGTAATCTTTATATAATATAAAGTAACAGTTTTTGCACCACAATTGGAGAGAAAAATCCGCCCAAAATAAGGGTAAAAATTTAAATCCTTAAATAGAGCAAAATCCAAGCATTCAATACTTTGCATCAAATAATAAGAAACTCTCGGTAGAATAATTAATGTGCTTTTATACCCAATTAACTAATGTGCATATATACTATGTTTAGTAAATTGCCATCCAATGAGATCAAGTTGACTCAATTTATACATGTGATGTTATATGTAATCAACTAATTAAGATCACAGTTATTGCTTGCTTCATATATTTTTTAACTTAATTAGTACTTATTTGTAACTAATTTACATGATTTATAAGTATATAACAAACATTATTACTCGGGAGATTTATCTAAATAGGACTAAATAAAAGGATAATTGTAACAATAGGACTTTAAAAGTTAAATTCCCAAAATAGGATCTGATGGAGTATATGGGTCTAGGCCCCAGGACCCACATACTCAGAACAGAAAGCACAGCCGCTACGCGGTGTCCTCGTCGGCCAAAGACCCTCGTCGGCCGGAAGAAGGACCAACTCAGAATATGATCCTGAAGCCAAGGAACCAGGGTGTCCTCATCGGCCGTGCCCTCATCGGCCGTGCCCTCGTCGGCCAAGACCCTCGTCGGCCACAGAAGTCTCACAGGACCGGATTTTACACTTATTCATTTGTATAGCCCATCAGTGGCTTTGTGTTCGGCCCAATAGCGGTCCAGTTGTAAATGGGCCTCCCAAGCCCAAGACTTGGGAGCCCAGCCCGTATTTTCCCTATAAATACTTCATCTGGAGGTAGTTATCAGGGTTAAAAAATCATTCTATTGAAGCATTACTTGCACTTCTCTCTCTAGCTCTCACTTCTCTCTAGATATATACTCTATCAAGATCGACTCTTCATATTCTACCATTTCCTTTGTCCTTCTAATAGGATTTTTTATACAATCATTATAAAATATAAAAAATCAAAATAAAAAAATAAAAATCGTAAAAAATAATTAAAAAATATACAGACCTCAACCACCTTCCAGCACCGCCACCTCCGGTCGCCGAAAAAAATTGCAAAGTTGGGGGGAAAATGTCATCGTGATGGCAATTTTGAAGAGAAAGCTGGATATTTTCAAAGAGTAAAAATGTCATCTTCATGACATTTTCAGAGAAATGTGGCATGTTTTACACATGATGGCATTTTTTTTGGTGACCAAAGGTGGTGGTGCTGGGAGGTAGAGGACGCGTTGGCACTTGGCAGTGACCTACATATATTTTAAATATTTTTTAGGTACTTTATTTTATTTTTAGACTTTTTTAAAGTTTTTTAAATATTTTGTTTATTTTTTCTGTTTTTTTATTTTTGTTTTATTTGTTCACGTTTTTATCATTAATTTATTAATATTTTATTGTTTTTTATATTTATTATAAATAAAAATATGATTTTCTTATTAATAAAATAAATCTATTGGAAACTATAGGAAGGGGGTAGAATGAGAAGAAGAGTCATATATTAGTGCTATTTTGGGAATAAAAGGATTGAACTCCTATTGTTGGATTTTGGACTTATTTTAGTCCTATTAAGGGCTAATACCCGTTGTTACTCTCTTATTTTTCCCTTAATCCTAAAGCAATAATACTTCTTTAAGTATCGACAAATTGAAATAAACAAGCGTAGTTGAAATGACATGATTTTAATAATATATGCTTACCATAATTTCACAATTAGCTTGGTGAATCAATTAAAGCATCTCTAGCTAATGCAAAAACGTGAATGGTGCACACGTGACAAGAGAGATATAATACATAAAAATTAATAAGTAGAATATATTTCTCCTTATTTGAACAGTCATATATGATTTTGATAAGAAATTTCTTCATAATGTGTAGATATAGACATTGTGTTTGTCATTGTTAGGAATATTTTATGGTGTCCAATCTAATTAAATCTCATCGTTTTTGTTGTTATTCAGCTTCCTTTGTCTTTGAACTTGACTTCTGAGGAAGGCTTTCTGAAGAAGTCCTTACAATCTCCACTTTGATATATTCTTGGCAATTTGTTCTTTGATGCCGGGGGTTGAGGGATCTTCAGTATCTTGCATGTAGTCATTGTCTTCCAGAAGTTGCTCTTGATCAGCTTGGATGAAGTCCGATGACGCTTCTAGAATGAATATTCTTTGGAGAATAGGAGATGCTCATGGAATTCATCATCATGACACGAGTATTTGACCTCTGTCTCCTCCACAATGTAGTCTTTTTGACTATTTGGAATGAATGCATTTGAGGAGAACTTGTCAGTGGCACAGCGGAACATAATGATGGTTGACTAGTGAGCGTAGCTGACCATTTGAGTTGCGGAGATAGTAGAGAGAGTGTTGGAGGAGAGAAGTGTCCCATAATGATTTTTTTGACAGTTAACAGCATGTGGACCACTCTCCCCCTCATGGAAGTGGTGGAGGAGAGAAGTGTCCCATAATGATTTTTTTGACAGTTAACAGTAAATTTTGACTGTTAAAAAAAGTTAGCAAAAGCTCATTACACTGTGGAAATAAGAAGAGAAAAATGTCACAAATGTTTTCTTATGTGTTTCCCTCATGCAAATATGCACCCTGTACATTAAAGATGCTCTAGGAATACTAATTACGTGCCTTCAAATTACTACAAAGTAATAAAATCAACGGTGACCATAATGGAAACATGAATACAACATATGCTACTACTTTCGTAAATTAACAAATCGAATTTTCAATTAGTTTATAGGTAAACTTCGTATTCACTCTATCAATTTATTTTTTCTCTACAATTCAACACCGTTAATATTTCACCATCACACATTTTATAACTAAATCCTTACTTTTGTTTTTATAATAC